TCAATTTATGAACAATATTTGCAATATATGCTGTTTGCAAGGGAATTATTACGATTATCGAATACTAATGTTTTTGTAAATGAAGTGTTTGTGAGCAATAATTGCAAAATGATATAGCAAATGGACTTAATAAAAAATTTTTTCTTTAATAAAAAATATATAATTTGTAAAAATATTAATATTATCATCATTTTTTGCAATTATATAATATTTATTTTTATCAAAAAATGCTTATAATGTAATGAATCAGAAAAATTATTGAAAAAAAATAATATATCATACCCTCAAAAAGCATTCTTCAGCTAATTTTTCAAATGCAGTTTCAGCTTGTTGATGTGAATTTTTATCAAGAAACAGAATACCAGTAGCATAATGACCAAATTCTGGTAATTCGATGTTTTGTTGTTTGCTGAAAAATAAAAAGATTGAGGAAAATACTTATAATAATAAGTTTTATACAGTATGAAATATGCAACATATAAATTTTAGTTTTAATCATCAATATCAATAATAATTTCATACGATACATTCATTGCTATAATATTAGGTAAACATAATATAAGATAATAATATAATATATATAAGAATAATATTTTTATGTCTATTCATATTTATTATTACTGAAAAGTTGATCAGTTATGAAATTATTATTAAATTAAATTAGATTAAATTAAATTAAATTTTTTATTATTATTAAATTTTATTTTTTAAATATTATTTTATTATTTCAATTTATCAATGAAATTGATATGAAATCACATTAATACAATTTTAAACTTGAAATTATTTGAAATCACGAAATCATTTAAATAATCAAGAATGCATTGTACTATAGTATTCTCCATTCATTAGGTTTTAGAAAATTTTTATTTCTTTTGATATGTTTTAACATTTATAATGTGACAAATGTGAATGTTCATTTACTGTTGTGTTTCTAAAGAGAACTATGATGTTATGATAGGCATCAATAAACAATAAATTTAAGACAATAATGGAAACATACTGGAAATGATATAATCATTTTCAGTCTCATATGAATCATTAAACTCATTACTACATCATAATAGATTTTGATATCTATTTATATATATTTTTACTATACTATATATATATATAGAGCGCTTTAATTTTTTCATGTATAGTGTATAGCTCATATAGTATACAAAAGAATTAATACGCTGAAGAACAGTGCTAAAAATATTATTAAAATAAATATATTCTAAGTTTATATAAAATTAAATTTAGAATATATATATATATATATATATATANATAAACTTTTTTTATTACATATAAACTGATGATAGTGGATGCTATTTAAATTATATTTTTTATAATAAATGATTTAGAGAAAATTTTTATATTAACAAAAAAAAATATGAAAAGTTCTGACAATATTAACATAAAACATGTACTAAAATTAAATAATTTAGATTTAATTTGATGTTTAAATTTATTTATTTTTATATTTAAAATTATTATTAAAACAATTATAAATATAATTATAATATATAGTTGGAAAATTTTGCACATAAGATTAGTAATACTTAATAAATATAATTAGATATATAATTTACATTTTACGATTTTTTTTATGAATTTATAATATAATATGATAAATTTTGCCTTTTAATCAAAGATAAAATTCTGATTAATAAATTAAAATTTGCAGTATTAGTAATAATGATGCAAAAGTATAATAAAATATTATTATTAATACAATCTATAAATACTATTAACACTAATTAATTATTTATATTAATTATTTATAGTGTTAATATAATTAACACTAATTAATTATATTATTAATAAAATTAATAATATATAAAAATTTTAATTTTATATATTATTAATAATAAAACTATAAATAATATTATTAAAAATAAACCAAAATAAAACAGAAAATAAAAAAAAATTAACGCCTATAATATAATATTTATAAAATATAAAAATATATTTTATAAAAAAAGACAATTTTTATATAATTATTATATTATATTAACAATTATTATATAAAAAAAATAAT